ATTACACCTATACATGTTTCTCCTGACGCAAATCCAGTTATTTTCTATTATTCCATCATGATAATAACAACTACTATCAACACTGCAGTACCCTCTGCTTACTTGGACTCGAATTCAACCCTTGCCATAAGACGCAAGCTCGGTGGTCTAGCAGTATGATGCCAGGCTAGTGATCTGTAGATCGTGGGTTGGAGTCCCACCCGAGAACTTGCAATTTTTTTCGCAATTTTTTTCAAATGTACTGAGTATTCAGTACATTTCCACGTCAGGTAGGGCAAAATTACACCTAAGTCTAAGACATAGCAGTTTTGAAAATATCCAAACTCATATTGGTTGCAGTTTTCCTGGTAGGTTATTTCATTCATTTTCATTAAAGACAAGCATAGACAAAAGATATGATGGTGCATACACTTATAAATAATTATGAGTTACTGATTTCTCCATCTTTCATTGCGTTTACTTCATTTAAATATGTTCATTATTTCATTTATAGGAATCATTATATTAACCGAAAGTACAATTCTACCTAGTCTATTTAGTAAAATTTGCAGAGTATTTAAATATTGTATATTGCAATGCGACCAAACGCAACAACAGTAATAAAAAATGGCATCACAAGCGCGTTTGCAATCATAGTAAGTGTTTGGTGATGCGACGTTTAATACCAATTCGTTTTGATACTTTTGATGCGATATAAAATTACACCCAAATATTTAAATGATTCCACTCTTTGTGGACAAGGAAAATATCTTTACAAATGTGAGTAGTACCAACAATCATAAATTTAGTTTTGTGCAATGTGTTCGGAAATGTGTTCGGAAATAAACATACAAAAAACCTTTGTTTTTTTAATCTGAAATAATATTACTTAAACAAATTGCAATAAATATGTTGGGTTGCAAATAAAACATACAAACAACACTCTTTTTTATCTGAAGTAATATTACTTAATAAACAAAATGCAATAAATACCTATGCTCATTGTGCATAGTTTGTGTTACATCCGCCATTTTACACACTAAGAAAATTCTACTTCAGTTCACAACTTGTGTTTTCAAGTTCACCGATGAGATGAAGTTGTAAGTTGTGAACTGGGAAATACCGACTTCACAAGTTCTAATGATTGCAGCATTACTCTCTTGGGTTTTTCCTTTAGGCCACATTCTTTTGTAAGGATAATATGTAATATGCAATTAATGATAGAAATCAAATAGCTACTTAGATAGTAGCTTAGGTATGGCAGTAAACTTCCACTGGTGGTATTTAAAGACATCAAAACATTATTATTGAATTTATAAACCCCAAAAACTTTGAGTGGTAGCCATATTGAATAGAGTAGATTTTTGATATTGTATTAAATCTTAAAGGTAATTTGGACATATTTCAATAATAAAACAAACTTTTGCAAATTTTTTTCTGCTGCCGATCCTAATTGTGAAAACTTTGTTCACACTTACTGATTCCTCTTTTTGAAGTTTAAAATATACATGTAATTTATAACATTACCGCAATCAGGGATGTAGCTATTGAAAACTGAGGGTTGTGTTACAATTTTTAGGGTGGGTTTAATGTGTGTATACTTTGGCGCGAAGGGCCAACCGAGCGAGGGTCGAAGGACCGGGAGGGGGATGGGTTTCAGAGTGCAGGGCGAAACTCTTGAAACACAGGGATTCGTGCGGTTTAGAGAGCCAAAATGATCGATTTGGGTAATGCAACTTAACAATTAGCCGACTTAGATTTGATTGCTTATGAAAATATGTGCGTACCTACAGGTATCTTGTTTTAAAAAAGACACGAATACTAGCCTATGTGTGACTACTGTTCTTTATTTCAAGATAAGAGAATCATTCATGCAAGTAATATAATTTTAATCGAGAAAAAAAAAAAAATTTTTTTAAATTTAAATTTTTTTATTTTTAAGACAGTGAATACAGCCCTGAATATGTTCAGTGAAGTACTGTAAGCACCTTGGCGACCAACACTCTGACTGAGTGCGAAAATCCATTGACGAGTTTTAAAAGCATTACCGTATATTCCGGTGTATAAGCTACACCTGTGTATAAGCCGCCCAGCCGCCCCCCCCCCCAAATTAGGACGCGAAATATCACAATTTTTTTGTGTCACCTGTGTATAAGCCGCACCTACTTTTAAGCTCCAAACCGTTCCTATAATGTTAAGTTTTTAATTTTTTTGAAACACTGACATTAATGTTCAAATAAAGAAATTTTATCTTTTTCGGCCAATTACTAAACAAAAAACATTTGGAAATGCGTGTAAACTTCTGGCTACCACAATGAAACAACATATTTTTCTGCTAGTCAGCTCTAGGGAAATCCTCATTTCTTGCTAGACGGTCGTGCTACATCAAACTTTTAACATCAATTTAGTTTAAGTTAAATAAAATCTAATAAAATAAATAGAAAGCCCTCAAAAGATTCTTTAAATTTAACGGAACTTTATTTCTTTTGTATCTGCTAACAGAGGTCATAATCTCTGCAAAATTTAAATTCACCCTATTATATTAGAAATGAAAAATGTTAGCTCTAGACCCCCTAATTAGTGAGTTGCGTGCTAACAAATTTGACCTACTCAGTGATACCTTGCGCGTTTTATTGACCGTATCTCAGTAAGTATAGTATTGAGTTGGTTTTAGTGTCATTTTAAATAGCTCTATAACTTCAGTAATAAATGCTAACTCCCCAAATCAACCATAAAAATTTATAGATTTATATGAAGTTTAAAGTTAAATATAAAATATATTAATATATTTTTTCTTCTAAAGCCCCTGTCACACTGTAGCGAATAGAGTGAATGTATGCCGATGTTTATGGAAATTTTGGTTTACGTTCGCGTAGGTTGACATTTGTTTGCGACACGTTTGAAGTACGTTTTATCCGTTTGTTAGGGTTTGCAGAAGTACGGTGGGTTCAATTTTAAATTTTGGACATGTTCAAAATTTTGAACTTGTTACAATGTTGTGCTTAATACACTATGTATACGGGGAGCACTCGCTGTTTGAACGTTTGGCATGTCGTTCGTTGTTCGTCCAAATACGTCAAACCCATCTGAAACTTTGCTATAGTGAATGTATAACGTATGCATGGTGTTCGTCTAACAAATCGGTAACGAATGACCAACGAATACATAAAGTATACCGAACTATATCAAATTTCACAAGGCGTCCATATAATGTGCTTGACGAACATTTGTTATGTAAACTCAACATTCGTTGGGCGGACGCTAATAATGCGCTGTCATTTAATAATATGGACGCTAGTTGTACAATCAGCATTCATTCCTTATTTGAAGGATGTTCGTTTATTGCCAATAATTTGAGTGTTATTGAGCATGTCATTTTGAGTAAAGAAATCAGTATGCTAGAAATATATGTTAGCTCTATTCGCTACTATGTGACAGGGCCATTACATCATAATGCATCTAGAGCACCCATCGCCAAACTTATAAGGAAGCTTACACATCATAATATCTCTAACATTATTTAAGAAGGTTCCCTATAAATTTGGTGATGGCTGCTCTAACCTGAGCAATTTCATACTGTATAGCATGCCCTTTCGAAATTCCACATTTTGTATATTAACACAGTACTATACCTGTATAGTAAATCACAACAGAAAATCTGTGAATCTTTGTATTGTTTTTATTTGCATGTTGGTGAAATTTTAAATAAAGTATACCATCAGAATGAATGAATAATTCTGATTATAATTTGCATTGAAACAATACGCAGGCAGTCCATGGTGCTATTTTCTTTTATGCTAGGATTAAAAATCTCTTTTGTTGAATAATTATGTACAATTTCACTGAGTGTTATGATCACCAGTGGCGCCAGCGAGGATGGGTTGGGGGAGGGGCAGGGTGGGCATTTTCCATCTGACTCCTCCGTTGGACCCCTCGTCGGCAAATATCTGGCACTCCCCTGGTCATGATGCTCCATTCATTAGTTTTTACGTAATCTTGCTAGAAGGTAGAAAGACAGCGGTGAAGACACAACATGTAAAACAACTACAACATAATATTTAAGCCTCATTTAATTAATAATGTTAGTATATAGCCATTTCAGCTGTGCTGATAATCAGGGCACACACCAGCTGTGGCACCAGAAATTTGCCAACAGAGGGTCAGAGCCAATTGCAGACAAAGTCTCGGTCGACGGCCTGGAATCAAAATCTCCCTTTTATGGTCCATAGGGAGAGTTTTTATGACTTAGTGTGGTTCAAATGTGGTTTTAGACCACAATATTAGGGATTGGCAGTCAAAACAATGTTATTTTGATTGTTATTTTGATAGGCAAATTATTACTTTTTACATTTTTGGTCAGACGACCTAGTCTTGCATTGGACGACAGAGGTGTCCAGGCCTGTCCGACGGGTGGGCAAATGCCCCCCCCCCCCCCAGGCTGGCGCCACCACTGACACACACATAGTATAGTGTAGTTCTTTTTTATGTACAGTACTGCTGGCTGGCATATTTGCATGCTGTATCATTTTCTTCCATCTTTATTCTGTTTTCCAGGCAAAAGAGAAGTTTGCAGTAATTAGGGAGGCATTAAAAGGAAAACTATACCGGGGCCATGTAGTGAAAGTGTACTATGCAATTGACAACAGCCTTAGGGCACCCCTGGATGAAGCTATTGTTAATCTAAGGGACCACATCACCAAGGTTGCTAAGCTAGAGAAGTACTTGGAGGAAAGATTCCCCATAAAGTGGCTTCACTTTTGGCGTGCGATTGAGCAGTTGGGCAAAAACCAAATTAACTTCGCAGAGGCAAGTACAGTATTAATTAATTATATAGTTGCCAGGTTAGTTATGCATCATGATATTTATATAAACTGGGAGGGTGCATTAGTAATGTGTAGATGTAAATTAATCTATTTGCAAATTATATAGGCCTATTAATGTTTATAAGCATTTCAATTTGTTTCACTTTTCTTTTTGTCTTTCCGCCCCTATTTTTTCCAGTGAGTTAGGGGCAGGTGGGGAGGGCAAACAAACTTTTTTTTTTTTATTTGGCCATTTTTTTTTTTGGCCTTAGAGTATGTATCTTAGCAAAGCTTATGGTACAAAGTTGGTATGGTACACTTTATGTGATAAAAAATCTTCATTCAAATCCATTAGATTCTCAATTATATATTTATGTAAATTTGTCAATTTTAGGTAAAAGATCTAGCTGCGAATAGTGGTATCATCAAAAGAGAACTTGTGTTTGCTTCATTGCATTTATATCATGACCTTGGAAACATTGTCTATTATGGTAAACTTGATACACCAGACAGCCTCCTCAATGATATAATCATACTGAATCCACAGTGGTTGATATTCGTCTTCAGCAAAGTGTTTACAGTCAATGCTTCCTCTAACAAAGTATGAGCATTTTTATACATTATCTATTGTATTGTGTATTTAGAGCTAGTCAAGAATGTAGAAAATATGATTATATGTTATATTAAAATGTTTTTTTAATTATTGTTGTTATTACTAAATATTATTATATTTAGGAACATTAGTTTCATCTTTTTCAAAAAGCATTTAATTATATAAATTTATTTGATATGATTATAAACATTTCAATGGTCATTTCTCAAAACATGGTGAACTGGTACAATATATTTTGATTGCCGTAGCTGAGTGTATCATGAGACATTGATTATATTCTATTTTTTCATTCAAACTATTATTATTATTATTATTATTATTATTATTATTATTATTATTATTATTATCTGTATTAATTATTTATAATTCATAATTTACTTCAAAGTAGCATTCTGAGATAAATCAACTAATTAATCATAAATAATAAGCCATTTTTCCTACAACAAATGTTCAAACCTCTGACCTTAAGTTTTAGAGACCAAAACACAACTGCTGTGCCAATATTATTATTATTAAATTATTATTATTACATTAATATTATTATAAACAGCATCATCACTACCACTACCATCAGTACTACTCCGGTACAAATATAGATTTCACAAATAAAATGTTTTGTTTGTTTACTATAAGTATTCCCATTTCGAAAGTTCGTTGGAAAGACTTCATGAGCATGGAATCTTGGAAGAGAGGCTACTCAGACACATGTGGCATAAATTTTTCGATCAGTTTGAATTCTTGTCAGAGCTAATGCAGAAGTTTGACTTGCTGTGTTTGAAAACTGAATCTGATGAGGTACAGATACATATGACGGATCCGTTTCGGCCTTCCAGGCCTCATCAGTGCAGCTAGGGTACAGACCCAAACAGAACGTTCGACCAGCTTAGGTAGGACCCAAACTAGTCCCACGACCACTAATGATTACAGAACCAAACCAAGGCAATATATATACACAGCCCAGGTGTCCTACGAAATTCTTAGGAGACAGTGCTATTCCGTGAATTTGTGAACAAGATCAGAGATCTAAAGATGCATCTCTACTGTGCATCAATGACGGCCCGCTGGATCTCATTAGAGATTTTTTAATAATACAGTATATACATTTTAAGGGTAGCTTGGGCCTGTAGCTAGGGTCTGTCAAATCAAAAACCAGCTCCAAAAAACCAGCCCTTCCAGGGCCGTCTATTCCACATTCCTGTCGCGCTATTTTTCTTTCATGTCATTTAACATCAACACTCACATTCTTCCTTGAGAGCGCTTTCAATCTATCCTTTTCTAAATTCTTTATTTTAACAGTCTATTTCCTCTCAACACATATGTCCAACCTCCTTTTTCTGTTTCCAACTTATCTTCTCCATATCTAAATTTTAAGTGCTTACAATTGTACCTATTTTGATTTTTCCTCATTGTCTACCATCTCTGACCCATATGTTAATGTTATTACTGACTCCATACAACAATTTAATTATAAATTTCTTTTTTAATTTTCTGTTCGTTTTTTACGTCGCTTTCTTCTTTTGTTGAAAGCGTCTTTCACCATTCCAATTCTTGATTTTATTTGCACATCACATCTACCACCTTTGTTCGGTTATTATTAATTACATGTTTAAACAATTTATTTTACATGTGTTAAGTAATCATTTATCTCAGCAAATTGTATTTTAATTTCGTGACCCAGGTAACAATTAAGCTTGCTACAGTTGATAGTGATGAAGAAGATGAAGAGGATGATGTTGAACTCGACCCAGCCACTTGCAAGTTGGTGAGTGTTGAATTATCTTAAGGACAATAACCACACCAGACGAAAACCACCCAAAATGGAATATACCATTGTTAAAGTAGGGTGCACTGTGGGGTGCACAATGTTGAGTGGGCTTGTTTTTATCTGGCTTTACAATACAGTAGATGGCTACTGTCTGGATGGTTTTTGTGGTGCTTTCCCCTCTTTGACACCAAATTTACCTCTTTTGTATTTCATTTTGGTTTGTTAATACCTATTACTACAATTATTATATAGCAAACCTACTATTTGCAACTTAACAAAATCAGTTTGTGAATTAATGGGATGAAACAAATTTGAGGAGTAAAATTTATCCATACATTCACATGCTCGAAACTGGGATTGTGCTCTATTTTTTTTTTATTATTACATGATCTGTAAAGGAACTGAAATCAATTAAAAAATTTCAACAGTACTCAAACTATATTAGTATAGTATTATTAGTATTGGTTGATTAATAATAGAGTAATAATTGTCTTTTTTATCGGTTATTCTTTTTTTACTATTCTTAGATTGAGATCCAGTAATTTAATACCATTATGAATATAAAGATTTAAACAGAGTTTAAAAATGTTTGTATCTATTCCTGACATCTTCAACTTGTTCTTACCAGGCTTTGTGCCTTTACTAACATTAGTAACATTTTCATGATGACTCGTATGTCTAATAAACAATTTTCATTTTATTGTTAATTCAGTACCATTGAAGTAGCACTAACTAACTATTTTAACTAATGTCCAAAATTTCCATACTTTGCCTTTTGAATCATGTTTGCTAATATCTGTGCAACTAAGACCCTATTTAACAGTGAAGTCCCACTTCGGTAGGTTGCAGTGTTCATAATTTAAACATTTTTTTTTACATCCCAAATCGTCCCTATGTCTTATTGCTGGAGATTGTAAAGTGAAATCTCCTCATAAATCATCATCACTGTTGTTATTATTTATCTATTTGTTTATATTGTTGACGGTGCTATGCAACTAGTGGCGTAGACATGGGGAGGGGAGACTGGCTCGTTATAACAAATTAAGTGGGGAAGCTGATATAGTGCGATGTCTAACCATTGGCGGATATGGGGAAGCAGAATCGAAGGTGTCTTTTGTCGAGAACACTGCTTTGAAATATATTTTTACAATCTGAAACTGCCATTTCCGAAAATCTAAAGGTGTCTGTTGTTGCACACCTCAGCACCAACCATGGTGGCACCGAGGTGAACGATCACCTCGTCAGGGAATTTCTGGCACTGGCATTTTTTTTAACTACTTATTGATTGAGTAGTTTTTTGTGGTCGGAAAATTTTCTAGTGCTAGCGTCGGACAACCTGGGGGGCAATTTTTTTTTCTTTTATCCCCACCCTTCCTAATGCTACTGCATTCCCTTATTTTTACAAAAAAAAGTTATAGTTGCTGTTAAAAAACTAAACCTAATAAATAGGCCTACTGACGTACTAGGAAGACTTGTGTTCTCAGAGAGTGGCGGATTCAAAGTGGCCCAGCCGTTTTCCCTCCCCACCCCTAAATTTTTCAAAATTATAAAAAATGGAGAAAAAAAGAAAATTATACATTCAAATTTAAGTCTGAGCATGCCATTTCCATCTATCTAGAGGTGGCAAAATCATAATACTTCACTGTTGTGAAAAAATGTATAAGGTAACTTGAAATAAGGTTGTGTTTGTGTTTCAGGAGGGTCTAAAATGATGCGCGATAGTTTTCTGTTAAGGTAGTTGTATTATTTTATTAACGAAATCAGATATTGTGTAACTCCGTATATATGGGACAATTCATCACACATTTTTCAACATCTTCAAAACTCTGTTTTGCAAAAGCACATCTAATTCTGACTGCTTTACTACTGTATTCTACTGCACACAATAATCATCAAATAAAAGAAGCCTTTTACTTTCCATTTTATCTCTACCAAAATCCAGCCATTGTTTCCCACAGCATTGTTGCTTTTCTGTATTTTTTACAGTAGTATTATATGAATGTATACTCAAATAAAGTTGCTGCTTAGCACTGGGAACACAGATAATGTATAAATCAAATAGATAATAATACAGTGCTAAAAAATATAGGAATATGAATGGAAAGCAACAAACTTGAGGGCTCACATATAATGGAGCAAATTTTTAATTTATTTTACATAGTATCTTTTAGATAGTAGCAGCTGGTAAATCATAGGAAATAATATTCAAAGCAAATAATGTGTGTTAGTGTAAATTGTTTTATTTTATGATATCAAACTTACACAATTAGGAGCTAAAAAATACCCTTGTCAATATAAAGGCGCTATTATTGTGTGCAGGTGTACCTGGCCGATGAATCATCACAAACATTTGGTCAGATTATAATATAAAATGGTCGGTTGCCTGCAGCTTATCTGTGTTTGGATTTTGACTACATCAGTGATTTTCTACCTTGGACTATGCCTGATTAAGTTAGTATTACGGTAGTAATAATTAACCACAAGTCAATCCAGTGGAAAATGCTACCTCACTGATCTACGCATGTTCAAGATTCAAGTCTCACAATAATCTTGTAACCATGCATTATGAGATAAATTACAGATTTGTCTATAACTTTATATTTTTAGCTGTGGAAGCTCTTGAATGACCACCTAGAGGACCTTCGCAGCACCTGGATGAAACGCATTAGTTATGACTTCTACATTCCTTGTAAATTTTGCAAGAACACAGACTGCCTTAAACTGAAGAGATGTATTGAAGCCAAAAAATATGTTCCGTGTAATGAGAAGCATAAAAGGGTGTTGATTGAACGAATCAAATACTTGTTTGAATGCAGAGCCCAGACAGGTATAATAGAATTTTGATGTTTTTCTTGCATAATGTAGGTCTTTTAATTTTTAGTATGTGTTTTTGTGCTCTCTTCATGAGCTACATTAAATTTCTTTTTATTATTGTTAAAAATAATAAAAATATTATAAAGCTTGGAAGATCATTAATCAATGGGTAAAAAACAGGCTGCAACTGTGTGCAATATTTTAAC